TTGCGAAGGGGTGAACCTTGGGACCTGTGGCTTGTTCCTTCTCAGTCTTGTTCTCCTATCTGCTTTGCTGGTGAGCAGCGGCTCAGGCCCCGGGCTTCCAGTTTCTTTCCTTCTCTGTCTTGGGTAGGCTTGGGATGCTGATTGTGCCCCCAAGTCTTTTCATGCGGCCCCCTTGTGGAGGTTGATGTAGGGTAGCATGAACAACCGAATTAGGTGTCCCCTCTCTCTTTGCTCCAGGTTGGTCGGAGCTCCCATATCTTCCTCACTCCATGGCCACCCTCGAGGTTCCTTCCCGGACAGTGGGCTCTGGCAGGGCGCTTGCCTATTGTAGTCCAGCCAGGCAACAGTTAACTTTTTCTGGTGCTGCAGGAAATGAGGCCGTGGTGGTTCAGTGGTAGAATTTTTAGCTTCCACGCAGGAGACCCAGCTTCAATTCCTGGCCAGCCACCACCCATCTGTCAGCGGATGCTTGCGTGTTGCTATGATGCTGAACAGGTTTCAGTGGAGCTTCCAGCCTAAGACAGAATAGGAAGAAAGGCGAGACAATCTACTTTCAAAAAATCAGCCAATGAAAACACTATGGATCACAAAGGAATGTTGTCTCATCTGCAACTGGTCATGGGGATGGTCGGCGTTTTGTTCTCTTGTATGTGGGGTCCCCACGAATCGGGGATGACTTGACAGCATCTAATAATAACAGTGCAAGAGAATTTCAGCCATAAGCTGCACGGGGCTGAGTCAAGTCACAGTATTGATTCCAGGCTGAACATGGGTTTAAAATATTTAACAACACCTCCTGGCTTTCTTTGAGGCCTGTGGCTTTTTAGTCAGAAGACCCTTCCTTCAGATTCTGGCCTCAGGACTGTGGTTCTGAGCCCTTTGGCCTCTACTGCCCTTCTTGTCCATCCTCAGAGGAGTGACAGCCTTTCCTATTTGTCTGGTTGAACCTGCCACCCAGCCACCTGCCCATACCTCACTCCTGCCAGCCCCGGCAGCACCCTAGGGGTCCTGTTCTCTTTCTGCCTCTTCTCCAGCTGTGGCTCAGGCCACCTCCCCTGCTGTGCTTCACTTAGCCCTGTGCCCCAGATGAGCACCTTCTTGGTTTCTTCCTCCAGGCTGCTCCTGCTCTGCCCTTGTGGCGTCAGCCAGCCTGCCCACCAGTTTGGAGGTCTTGCTCTCATTGCTTGGGTTGGTTTTCGCATCCATTCAGGGATTTCTGACAAACATTTGCCGGTGATGTTAGTTATTGGTCTTTGTGGGAAATTCTTACTGTGTTTCTTTAAGAATGTGAAAACACTACCCTTCCCAGTGAAGTACAGAGAACACAGTCCTGCTTTGCGCTCCCCCTCACACACCGTTGCGTTTTGGAGTAGAGACCACTGAGACAGAGTCTTTGAATACTTAGGGAAAAGCAGCACAGAGCGAGGTGCGTTGGTTCAGAGTTCCATTTCCCTAATATAGGAAAAGTTTTTAAAAAAATTAATCACTGGGTGAGGGAAGGAGGCAGGGAGGCAGGCCTTGCCCCTTAGGCACTCAGTTTAGTTGGGGCGATGAGGCACAAACATACAAAAAGTTAACTTTCTTAAAGTGAAAGTATCCTACATCAAGTTTTGGAAGCACCTTTAAGGATATTATTTCACTAAGACTAATTCGGAAACCCTGGTGGCGCAGTGGTTAAGAACTCAGCTGCTAACCAGAAGGTTGGCGGTTCAAATCCACTAGCCGCTCCTTGGAAACTGTATGGGGCCGTTCTGCTCTGTCCTGTAGGGTCACTACGAGTCGGAATCGACTTGACGGCAACGAGTTTAAGTCTAATTCAGTTTTACAAATGAGGAAATCATTTTCAGAAAAGTGGACACGAGCTTGGAAGTGCAGAACTGGGATTCAGATTGTGCGTGATTGCAAAATTGCAAAGCCTAGGTTGTTGTGCCGTGTTAATCGGCCTTCTCTAACAGATGAAGAATTTGCGTAAATCTGGAGGTGGAATGTGAGTGCACGCTTTCTGACCCCACATTCTCTTTTGCCTAACACCACCTTCTACTGTGTCCCAAGGCGGAAGGAGCAGACTTGCAGTGAGTTCTGCGAGCCTGGGAGAGCCGAGGGCATTTGGGCCTTGGTGCAGCCCTCACTCAGCACAGCTCTGGAGCTGACGTCCAGGAGGTGCCCCCCGCCCCCCCTAATCTCGCCAGTGTAGTCACTGTGACTTGTACTGGCTATACAACAGCTCCAGCTTCAGCTCAGAGTGGTGACGGAGAGGGGCCCTGTCCTGTTGCAGTAAGGCTGCTGGAGTACAGTGATGAGTGCCTTTCTGATAACAAAGCTCCTCTAGAGGTGAGCGTCACTGGATGTTTACTATGGCTTCATGAAGGAGGGAGCCGGGCAGGTACCATCACCCCTGTGTTAGATGTGGACATAGACTCAGAGGGATAATGACCTCGCCAAAACGCTGCAGCCAGAAATTGACAAATTGCAGGGCAATGCCCAAGTCTCGCCTGATTGTAAATCCACCACCTCGCGTTGCCTTTGAGTAAATTTAACCTCTCTGATTCTTCCGTCTGGGCCTGAGTTCCTGTGTGCCTGTAGGGGGCGATAGAGGTCTTTTCTGCTTGGCTTCTCTGGGAGTCTTTGTCCCGGAACCATTTGAACATATCGCTCTTACAGCATGTTACTATAATAAGCACTTTCTATGTATCTGTGCCCCCACCTTCCACCCTCCCCACTCCACTAGCCTGAGCTCTTGGCATTCAGTACAGTGTGCGGCCCATAGTAGGAGCTCAGTGAATGCTTATTGGATTGAATTATGTGCACGTGAAATCAGCCCAGTGCCCCCTCTTGCTACTCTTAGAGCATTTTACAAAGGAGGAGTGTATCAGGATGCATTTGGCTCCGAGCAGTAAAAAACACCACTGAAAGCAGTTTAGCAGAAAGGAAAGCTTATTATCTTATCAAACTTTTTTCCTGGTCCATCCAAATGAGTCAAGTTGAAGGTGGCAGAATGAAGACCTATGCAGTGTCCTCAGACGGCCACTAGGTGGCAGCATGGCCTCATGAGGCCCTTGCCTCCTGTGTTACTTTGGCTCCTGCGTGCTCCCTAGGAGCTTATGAATTATCTGGTTGTCTGTTGCCTCAGGACATCTGTTGGGGACTTGCCTTTGCAGTCAGTTTGTACTTGTTGGTCTGAAGCTGATAAATCTTGGCCTCCATGCCTCCTCTAAAAGGTGGGTGCCATAGTGGAAAAGGCTTGGACGTTGGAGCCTACCAGGCCTGGATCCTAACCCTGGCTTTGCCTTTACCCAGAAAGTTAGTCTTGGACACGTTACTTCCCTGAGCCTCAGTTTCCTCATCCTGCAAAACGGCAATTATTGTAAAATTAAGAGAAGGTCCCGCATGTCATGGGGACTAAATGGATGCTAGTTCTATTGTTGAAAATTCCTGTTTGCCTCTGTAATCTAGCTCCATCCTGGCCATCTGATCTTATCTGCCAATTTCCTGCACTTCCCAGCAGGTCTCCCAGCCCTCCCTGCTGCATCGTCCACCACCCCCAGCCTCACTCCATGCAGTCAGTCAGTGCTTGCAGTTTGCCCTGCCTGGATGCCTTCCCTCTGCCTGTCCTTTCTGACCCAGCCTGACCAGCAGCCTCCCCCACCACCCCAGCCCTCTAAGTGTCCACAGCACTTGGAGTCTATGGAGCTAATCTGGACTCCCCACGGAGAAGTAAGTCTATGAAGGTCATTGTCTTAATTATCTTGGCTCCTGTGCCGTGTGCTTAGCAGGCACCCTGTAATAAAATGGCAGTTATTATTATTGCACACATGCCAGGCACTCTGTTAGGTACTTTGCCGAATTATTTTATCGACTCCTTGCAACAAATCCCTGAGATGGAAACTGTTATCTCCATTTTGCAAAGGAGGAGTGTGTCAGGATGTTTGGCTCTGAGCAGTAAAAAACACCACTAAAAGCAGTTTAGCAGAAAGGAAAGCTTATTATCTTATCGAAGAAGGAGTCCTTAGGGACACTCAGTGATGGTAGCAAGGATCCAGGTCAGTGCTGTCTGTCCTCACTGCCTTTCCCAATGTGTTGGTTTATCCTCTTAAGTGCCAGGGTGACTGCTCCGGTCCCAGGTGCCACATGCAGGAGAGGTGATGTAGGTTCCTTGTGCTCCCTTTAGGTTTAGGAGGCTCCTCAGCAGAGATCCTGCAAAGCTCTTCTTGGCCAGTGTTGGGTCTTAGACTATTCCCAAGCCATTTGCTAGCAAGGAGACTGGAATTACTGGGACTGGCTTAGACTAGTCAATATTCAGCCCCTGAGAGTGGGGAGGGTGACTCAGCCCCTTCAATCTCCCCCCGCTGCCCCAGCCACCTGGCCTGGGGATGAAGGGACAGGAATGAGGCTCAGTGAGTTAAGTAACTTGCTCAATGTGCAAACCTGGTAAGAACTGAGATTCAAACCAACATCCGGCTGACTCCAGAGGCCATCTGTTGGTTGACTGGAGGGAATCACAGAGGTAGGAAGTACATTGCCCTGACTCTGGTATTCTGGATTTGGGTCTTGGAGGTGCCTTTTCCTACTGCTTCTGGAGTCTCACCTTTCTCTAGGCCCCTTGCCGTTATTGTATTGGTTTTTCTCTCTGCCTTTCCCCAATTCTGCCTTCACCCCTTATCTTCCAGGGCAGCTGCTGCCTGTCTTTTAGAATAGACCCCATGCCCTTAGCTGGGCCTGAAGGCTGATCCCCGCGAAGCTGTCAAGGCCCTAGAAGGGATCAGATTGGGGATTTGTTTGGAGTGGATAGAGTTGTGACAAAGGCCTTACAGAAAGAACCCAGGAGAAGGAGTGGCTCAGGGGTAGTGTCACAGGGGCTGATAGAGGGCCAGTGATGATGGTGTGTCAATGAGGATGTAGGAAGGGCATGCGGGCCAGGGCTTGGGGTAGGCCACGTGGGGCAGCAGCCAGCTGTTCCCTGCAGAGATAGCACAGTGACTCAGGAGCTGCCTGGCCTGCAGATGCTCCAGGACTGCCCGAAGGCACGCAGAGAGGTAGAGCTGCACTGGCGGGCCTCCCAGTGCCCACACATTGTCCGCATCGTGGACGTCTATGAGAATCTGTACGCGGGGAGGAAGTGCCTGCTGATCGTCATGGAGTGGTGAGCAGCCCTGTCTGTTCTGTCCTGGGCCCAGCCTGTCCCCGCTCCGCTCGGGCCTCAGCCTCTCGGGACAGCCGAGGTGTGGACCCTGAGGCTTTCTTCTGGGGGCGGGGAACAGTGGTTGGCTGGGCAGAGTGATGATGGGATTGGAGGGGAGGCGCTGCTCCCCACATCTCGCTGTGGCATTGTTTCAGTTTGGATGGTGGAGAGCTCTTTAGCCGCATCCAGGACCGAGGAGACCAAGCATTCACAGAAAGAGGTAGGATGGGTCTGCGGGGGCCAGGCCTCGGGTGGGCAGGGTAGCGGGGTGTCTGAAGGGCCCTGAGTGCCCTGAAGTGCCTCCTCTCCATGGAAGGTGCTGATGCCTGCTGCCGGCTTCCACTTGCTGCCGGAGTGTCAGCCTCAGCTGCGGCTGGGGCGGCACCTCATGTCTTTGGTTTGGGGGTGGGTGGTGGGTGTGGGAAACCTCAGGCTGTGTGGGGACTGGTATATTGAGCTTTCAAACCTGGTGACATACCTCTGTGACCCTCTTTCCTGCCCTCTGCAGAAGCGTCAGAAATCATGAAGAGCATCGGCGAGGCCATCCAATATTTGCACTCAATTAACATTGCTCACCGTGATGTCAAGGTACCAGCTGCTCATAGCCCCAGGCTTAGGTGCTGCTGGCAGCCATGTGGTGGGCGCTGTGGTGACCCCAGAGACAGTTGCCAGAGCCATCCGGCACCTTTGCTACTCCTGGGCAAACCCACAAACCCAGTGGTGCAGCCTGTCTGGCCACACTCAGCCAGTGCCCCACAATTGCGGCCAGTTTCTTACGTCACTGCAGTGGTTACTGCTGACTCTGTGCTTGCCTCAGCTCCAGGCTGACTGTGAGCTCTCTGAAGGCAGGGACCTGGCCTGTATAGCTGATATGCCTCGGAGTGTCCAGATTAGAGGGACTAGACAAACATGTGCTGAATGAGTGAACCAGTCATTGCCTTTTGGTTTCTGAGAGCCCTCACGGCTCAGCAGGGTTGTTCTGTATCTGTGTCTCCTTCTCTCTGCAGCCAGAGAATCTCTTGTACACCTCCAAAAGGCCCAATGCCATTCTGAAGCTCACTGATTTTGGCTTTGCCAAGGAAACCACCAGCCACAACTCTTTGACCACTCCTTGTTATACGCCGTACTATGTGGGTAAGTCCAGAGAGGCCCGGGGACCAAGTCTTTCCTGGGACTGTAGGCAAACCCTCCTCTTGCAGGTCTCAGTGGGGACGTGGATCCTGGGAGAGTTGTGCCCCCTGCGGTGCTGGTTCTGATGTGACCCTGATCAGAGGCTGACTTTTCACAGTCCCTGGGGTCGAGGAAATGATAGCAGGCCATCTCCCGAGATGTGCACTTTTCCATGAGGACAGCCATCATTCCATCGGGTCCTCAGCGAGTCTGGGACCTGGGTTTGGTTCTGGATTCAGCTGTCTAGCCTGCAGTAAGCTCTCAAAGCATGTTTGTCAGGTCAAATGGGCAGCGTGAGTCTGAGTGTCTTGCAGTTCAGGACTTTTTAGTCTTAAGATTCTTGCCCCAGGGTTCCTCTTTGGAGGAGGGTCTTTTGCTTCCCTCCCTCCAGCCCTGAGGCTGGGTTAGGGCTGTTCCTCTTCCCACCCCCGGTTGCTGTCCCATCATGGTGGGCTGAAGGGCTAGGATGGGGAACCTGGGGAAGGCTGCAGTGTCCTGACGTAGTCCACAGAGAACCTGGGGAAGGCTGCAGTG